ATGACCTAGTTGTTGACTATCATAACTTCAAATTAATTTATATTTATTTAATTGAAAGAGAATTAACACATCATCAATACTTCTCTTGTTATTTCCTGGAATGGTGGGAATATAAGTCTTAAACTAAGAAATTCCCTAAGTAACAATGTCTACAGGCAATAAAACTCAGACTTTAGGACTTTTTTAAAGGAAAAAAATTGCTCTGATATATCAAAAGTGTAACATGATCCTGAATATCAAATTAGCCCTAGAGACAAGACAGATTTTTAGTAAGATTAGTTATAAGAATATTTGATATGTATTCGAAGATTTATCATGTAGTTATGTGATATGAAACAATGAATGTGGTGATACCATTTAAGCAAATCGATCCAAACAATTGCATTGGGTTCGAATCCCACGAGGCGGGATCGTGGATGCGCACTGCTGAGGAGTCCCACAATGGGACGAAACGGCCGTTCAGTGCTTCCAGATTCTCCATGGTGGTCTAGCTTCAAATGACTCATGATCTCAACTGTTGCAATTGTATTGTTGTTTTCGTGCTTAATGGTTATATTATGTAATCATGCATAATAAATAAATAATAATTTTACTTAACATTGAATTCAATGAGAACTGAGAAATAGTGCTTCTAATGTAGTGTGTACTACTGATATCGACAGATATAAATAGTATGTATTATCAATCAAAAGTGAAGTATCTGACGGAAGAAGGTTAAAATGATCAAAGGAAAGAAAATGAGAACAAAGAATAATTGATGTGGAAACTAAAGAATAATCAAATCTCTAATCTTAAACATCATTAGAATTGAAATGGAAACAATGAGAAAATCACAGGTTGTTCTAGCTTATTATTTCATTATATTAATTAAACAAATAAGAATGAACAATAGTTTTAAATAAAACAATTAAATATTAAATTTAATGAAACAAAGTCATCTATTATGAAATACATTTCTATGCCTGAGTTCTTTACCTGGAATTGAACAATCAAGTAACTTAGGTACATGATTTATAACATGAGGGAGGTTAAGAGGTGATTTAATAAATCGATATGTCTTGCCTGCTTAGAAATGATTACGCAACCTCTCTAAGATAATTAACAACTAATATAGTCTAATAGGAAGAAACAAAATAATACTTGTATTATTTGTGTAATGTGTAATTTCTTCTTAGGAGTGCATCTTTTCACCTTTATGTTTTTCTCTATACAAGGCTAAATCAATCGTATAATTGTTTAGAGTGTTTTGTACTTGTCAAGTAAATAATTACTTTAGGTGGTGGAGAATATTTGTAGTTCAGATGAATGATTTTGGCAAAGTTTTATTCTCTGAGTTGGATAGTTTTGTTGTGGAGCTTTCATCGTTATTCTAAACGACATCATTATCATCAGAATAATGACAAAAGCTCTACGACGAAACCATTCAGCTGAGAGAACAAAACTCCATCAAAACCATCACTTATTCTATTCACTTGTGAATGGTTGTTTTATTAATGTTAATTAAACTCATCGATAGATCATTCGATTCAACTATGAATTCTGTAAATTATTCAGTATCAATAAAATTATTGATTATAATTATTAGGAATAACACTTTGTGACAATAGAACTGATACCAATAAACTATGAGAATCTAACTCAATTGAAATCTAATGAGAAATATTATTTTCCACAATATTTGAAAGGAATATTTTTGGGTAATAACGTTTTAATGTCTCTACCGATTATAGTTGTCATGATTAGATTGCTTTGCAAACTATTCCACTCATTTTTAAAGACAACTCATTATTGTTATCCCATAAAAGATGTATCTACACTAGATACTGAGTCAATTAGTTCAACATGATTTACACAATGTTATGCAAAACAATGTAAAGTTTTTATTTAATTTTAGTCTCTTCCGTTTTTAAAATTTGAAAAATGTATGATAAAATGGGAACATATTCATGGGGTGGATTAGGGTTCTATCTCGCAAATCAGTTTTTTATTGTGATTACTTAGCTACACATACTTGATAAATACCTCACGGTTCAAGCAAGTTATTCTACAAAGTAATCAAACTTACTGACTGCAAGAAGAAAAACAAGGGTCCCTTAGAACACCTTAGCAACTTTTTTAACGGAAAGTATATGAATAGAGTATCACAGTTTTTTATTATCAATTAATAAGTAAAACTCACGCATAAGGTCCAAAAGATGCATTAAGTTGCGATTATTTGATAATTCTACCATCCTATCAGAATGTAAAGTGTCAGTTAACCTTTTTTGTTTGCTTCAACAATCATGTAATTTTGTTGTTTGACAACTAAGTCAATTTTCCGTGAAAATAATGGAAACAACTAAAAAACAAAACTAAACATGATGGCTCAGCTCTTGATCTTTATGAACGTATTGGGTTCAAATTTTGAGACTAGATAGAAATTTACAAGTGCTCTTGAAAAATATGACACTTGAAAACTTTTTTACAACGCTATTCAACGAGTTATATTTTGTGGGGAGGTTCTGGTTAGAAATGTATGTGAGTCAAGTCAAAGATCTCATATCAAGTTCGATGCTTTTTCGTGAAAACATAAACTCTGTAATTACTCTATGTACACTAAAATATATATGCTAAACTTTTTTCCTGTTTTGTAAATAAAATGAAACGATATTAAACCTTGTTTGAATTCAGTTAGAGGGTTAGTTTTCACATATACTTTATGTTAATTAGCATGTTTCGACAGGAGCTTTCTTTTATTGATAAAGTATTAATTTGCCAAAGAACAACATATGTATTTTGTTCGATATCACTTCTTGTAATGGTGTTTTTATCTCTACAGGATATCAATCGTGCCCTGTAAATTATTTTTTGATTTCGGTCTTACTATAAGAGATTCTATCACTTAGGATTTTGTAGGACAGACAGAAACAATATTATGGTTTATAGCAAAGCTTTTCCACTTTGTACTTCGTTTCAAGTAAATAATAATGGCTTTGGAAAACTGAATTAAGTTTTTCTTTTAAAGAAAGTGAATTAAATTTAGAAGTTGATTGTTTGTATTTTTCTTATAACAAAACGTGAATATTAGTTAATCTACTTAGGTTTAGCTTGAACTCAGTCTCAACATTCAGTAGAAATCACGAACCGGCAATTTATTTTTGGTGACCTCCTCTTCAGTTCAGCTACTTAGTGTACAAAGGTTTCATTCACAGTGCAATAATTGCTCAAAATAAATCACCTTATCAAATACCTACTAACAATCGAACTGAAAACTTCTGTGTATAAGTATATCACATAACACACCTCTTAGGTGCCAAAGAAACTTGGAGAGTGCATAACAACTTCTTGCTTAATACACACTAGAAACCTATGTTTGGGTTCATTTTTATAAACAATAAATGACTGTTTAGAGTGGTTGTGAAATCAATTTATACATATGATTTCAATGAACTTCAGTAGCCTCCAGAACCCCTTACTGAAAACGCGCGTCATTGGAAAATTAGTGAACAGTAACATTTATTTAGTCCCGTTCAAAAATATAAGCCTTGGTTAAATCAACCTTGAAGGGGAAACTATGTTTGCTTATAGTCCCTTTTATGAACTGACTTGTGTAAATAATATTATTTTGTTGTAAAATCTGTTTTACAAGCATTACGGTACCCAACATAGCGCTTATTATGACTCGATAGGGTCCGTTGCCGTCCGGAAAATAATCGCCGAGGAAATATACACTGATTTTTAAGTAATTCGTCGAACTAAAACGAGCACAAACAAACAATGTCATTTTTAATTTAAATATTATGATTGCGAAATCTGCGGGACCAGATTAAACGCGTCCTAGATTACTAAAAATGCCCAAAAACCTTATCATAGATTCATCAAGTATATGTTTTAAACTATCTACAACCCAAAGTAGATTACTAAGCAACTGAAGGAAAACCGTAGTTGCTCATATCTTCAAAACAGGCACGAAGCATAAACCTAAGATCTACCGTCCCGTAAGCTTAACCGGTCTGTTCATTAAACTTCTAGAAAAAATTGTTCGCAACGAGTTGTTTGAGTATTTAGACAAAACCTGACTCCGTCAAAAAATCAACACGGCTTTGAAAAACAGGTATTCCACGTCTCATAAACTTATTAGTGGCTTGGAAGCCAGTGTTCTCTTAATGACCTAAAGCTACCAATAGTTTTCACATTCGTCGACTTCCATAAGGCTTTACGCAAAGCTCTGTATGACCCGCTGTTGTCTGAGTTGATTGGTATCGTAATTGAATGTGATTTACTTATGTGGATGAACGATAACATATTTAAAAATCAAAAAGCAGTAGGCGTTAAATCTAAGTCGTTTTCTCAGGGTACAGTTTTGACAACAGTATTACTCCTTATATGTGTAAATAACTTTCTAATAATAAGAGTAAACTGACCACGATTTCATAGCAAGACTAACATTGTATCAAACTTTCGCTTACTATTATTATTCTTCAATAAGGTTAGTTTATAGGGACACACAAATGTTCATAAATCTAGAAGCAAGTGCCTATAAGCTTACTACTGGATGTCTCATGGAATCACCAACTAATCGGAGTTCATACCCCAACACGTCATTGAAGCTCTATCCGTCGAAACATTCGGAAAAACGTTTGATCAACTAAGAAACTACTGTTTCCCGCACCAATACAGAACCGGAATACTAACTTTGTGCGAAAAATAAACGTTGCAGAAACCGAAACATCAAATCCTTCCACTGTGTACATTTCCGTCTCAAATATTATCTCATGGAAAACCTCTCAATAAATATTTGCTTTGCTAACATGCCGCAGCCCATCAAACATTCAGATACATCAAGTTACACTCTGTTTTGTGAAAACTTTAGCTTACTCGTCAAATGTTGGCTGAACTCAATGACGACAAAATAGTATCTCTGTGACAAACATGCATAAACTAGATGATTCCTTCTTTAAAATGCGAAAGGCACTTTTTACAGACGTCTTACATTGAATGCAAAAAACACTTAGACTTACCGATGGGGTCAACATGGTCGAAATGATCAACGAAAGTTCTTCGATCCAAAAAGAGTGACAACTAATCTAACATTATTCAGCACATCGTAAATTTACCTTTCCGTCAGGAGTCGCCTTCTTTAAAACACTGAGTAATCTTAAAATAAGTTAATTAAATCTTACTCGAAGCTCCGTCCTTCCGTCCCTTTAGACATAATTTTGGTTGTGGCACGATAACAGAGTCATTATCAAAACTTTTAACTATGCTCATGAAAGTCAAGGTCGAATGCCTGTTCGTTTAGCGATTACAACAACACACATTGACTTCTTATGTCTAAAATCCTGTGAACCAGTCCCCAGTAATTAAACTAAATAAGAAGTTTTCTTTAAATAATTTTAGCATTTCATGATTTTCACTGAACGCGGGCCTTTACTTGTAACAATATTATATTTGCAGTAAATAAGTCTGAAAGTCTTTGACTTGGTGCTGATATAATCGGTTTTACTGGACACATCCCAGGTGCATCAGCGTCAGATTACAGTTGAACACACCATGCTACTCATTTCTTGCAACTAGCAGCCAGCTTAGACCAAACGATCCTTAACATATCGACAGCCTTCCAAACATAATTTCCCAACTCACTCATCCCTGACTTCTAATTTGATCCGGTTGGTATCGTTCGATTATAAGCATGTTGCAGACAAGGGTTTGGTTGATACCTGAATATCTGTGGGATTATTAAACCTGCAATCTCTGATATTATCGAGTATATTGGCTTACTTCAAATATTCGAAGTGTCCCTAAAATAAACAAGACATCCACAGATCTAGTTACTTAAATAAGTTTTTTGAACCATAGGAAGGGATTAACTTGAATTATCTTGTCCAGGAAGATGATATGATCGACCAAGAGTTGTCATAAACGACCCTCAAATTACCAGTAGAAAAAAACTACACAAACAAATAGGGATATAGGATAATAGATAGGATCCAGTATTGTGACGCAATGCAGCATTTGTGCTAATTGATGATTCCTTTGTGCCTGCTTGTGCGCTGATATGGATTTCGAGAATTATACGCCCTGTTTTGTTCGTCTAGTTCAGCCTACCTCAAATGGCTCTGTTTTACGAATTGTCGGTTATCAAATCTATTCGAATACTTCGAATGATCATAGGCGACTAGCTACATAAAAAACCTCAGGGGGTAATTCTACGCATCAGTGGTTCATTTTGGCTATGCTCATCTCAATCTAGTATACCTGAACTGAAATTAAATTTCCCTTAAGCTTGAATCATCTTGCATCGTAGTGAGAAGATTGGGTTCTACTCTTGATGCACTGTAGCCGTAATACATTGAAAGTTATTTCGGGTGTGTAGCAGCTTAAGGTGGGTGGTTAACAGTCAGCTGAATGCCTTCAATTAAGATCAAAACATACGAATTAATTATTTACTTACCATTTTATTATGAGTTGGAACGATAATCCCGACTATGTAATAGTGAATGTTGAAAGGCATTTCTATTTAAATTAGGACTTCACTCTCCGGCCCTTCTATGGGCGTGTGACACTGCAAGCACACTACAGGTGGACTCATATGTGACACACGCCTGGTGCTCATAGGACGTTTGAAGCCCTCATCCATTAGCTACTTAAGCATTATTTCTGTCTACCACTATTAACCAATGATTTTGAGCAAACTGTTTTCTAGTAAAATACAGTTATAATGGGCCAGGTCAATCAGTCTTACTCATCGTATCCAGGAAACAAAAGAATAATATTCAAACGTCATAAGGTCTACAAAACTCAACATTAAATAAAAATCACACTGAATTTCATCTGTGATCAGGATGATTCTTAAAAGCCAACGGTTGAAGTGTTGTCGAACATCAAGACATGAGTACAGGTATCTGACGAAGTAAGCGCCTGGAAAGAAACTAATCGAAATGCTTGAACTTCCCACAATTGTATCGTCATCCCCCAGAGCTGGATTGTTATGTTCCAAACGAGGTTTATGCATTCAATATCCAACAATAGCAGCGGCTGCCACAAAACCTAAGTGGTTGCAAACAGCACCGTTTATTATATCCCGGTTCCCCCATCCATTATGCCTTACAACGACTGCTCCCCCACTTGGTGTCTGCAAACTTCAGAAGCTAAGAAAATTCAACCGAGGTTCACCGGTCTTGTCATCGCAAAAGACACAGACTGAACAGTTATGTCTGGTGTTTTGTCCTGAATTCAGGGAATAAATCTTGTGAAGACTGAGTATGTTCCTGCAGGGCTCAAAGGGGGATATAAACTGGCTTAATAATGATGAAAAAAATCCATCCTATGCTGCCCCCTGAAATGTCTTAATAGAACCCCAACTACTGCATTTTGCGAGGGTTTTCTCAAGCAATCACACATTGAAAACCAAATACGTGAGCAAGGATGATTTTATTGGCTATTCTGCTGCTTCCGATAAGTCTCTTTACGTCCAACAGTGTAGCATTTTTTACAATAGTGGTTTTCAAACGGATAGGAACTTGCAAAATGTGATGTATCACAATGGCAGAATATGGATAGGGGTCTTTAGACCTCTCTTTGATGATTTATCGTGTAACGATGTGACTTTTGGGGTCTTGAAACCAGAACGGATTTCACCTTGAACTGTCTGAGTTTTGTTAATCGTTGAAGTTCTCGAGCAACATTTCGGGTGTCAACATTGGGTCCTGATTAAAACTATGTAACAAACATGCACGAATACCAACAAATTTTTCAGACTGTAAACTATGAGTAGCTTTTAATGATTTCAATTGGTAACGAGAAGGATTTTTTAACTTAAACAGCTCACTCTCGCGATTTATCATTCCGACACATGTGAGAAAACCGTCCTCTTCGTCAATTACTAGCCTCATGCATCAATATCGAGGATCAAAAATCGAGGACTGATCACCAAACATTTGACTAAGAGAAATGATGGTGTCTGTATAGGTAGTTTTCACGTGTATTTTAGAGTGATGTTGCAATATCTGCCGAATTCTGTGGCGCCGAATTTTCGTAAAAAAATACGTGCTTTCCAAGAGTCTTCTTGGTCTCCGGAATCAACATCAAACGTGTCTCGTGACGGCGAAACCAGGTGTCAAATATTACGTTTGACTATGGTTCATAACTGCACTCGGCAATCTGATTGACGTCATTATCGAGCTTGAATTCAGATATGGAGGTTTATGGTGTTGAGTTCTTAGTAATTTAGGTACTAGATCACAACTCAATCAGTTTGAACTGTTGTTCCACCAGACGTTTAACTTTACCATTAACACATCTAACAGCCATACCCGTCGCCAGTTGTTGTGTTTTGTTATCGGGGTTCAGTACGGCTAACTTTGCTACGAATCTAGGAATGACAACAATTGAGCTACTCTAATACAACCGGTTTTCTTCGAAACTGACAACAATCAATTATGCTCAACACATCGCAGCTCGACGGCTAACCCAGGAAGAAGACGGAACTGGAGATAACTTCATATGTGATAGGACGGTCAAATCAAACTAAATTGGCACGAAAGTTGTTGTTATGGTAGCGGAATATGACCTTCAGGCATGTATCATTTTAGCGAAATACAAAATGTGACAACCAACCAGAGGGAAACGGCTATGAGGGAAACTGAGTTGGTTGAAAGTAATAACAATATATTTCTGCAATGGCAGGTACATGCCACGTTTCCAGGCATGATCTATGCATGCATGTTAAAGAATATAGTCCATAAGAGTGGATAATAGTTTCTTCATTCAGATATACTGAGTAATCTTCAAATTACTCTCTAAAGTGGCATCGCGTCCACGTTACACATGAGATCCAATCTCGGCATAATTGCGTTAGGATTTTGGCCATGCTAAGTATTTATGCAATGTAACATCTTATAGCTGTTATAGAGTAGACTTGTAGAGAGCTTGGTGTGAACCATGACCTTGGGACAACTCGTACGTTTAGTTCGTTACAGATGTCGGAAGTTCCATAACTGTTCCCTCGGAGCATGATTCTGAAGGAAAAAAGAGAAACCGAGGAGCGACAAGGCACTTGGATACGAACGATAAACAATACTTAGCATTTTGTATTGTAACAGACAGAGGTATGAGGAGTTATTAGACTAAATTCACACTAGCTCTTGTAGCTAAAGTGGAATGTGATCAGAGGCTCCAGATGAGAGAATAAGGCAATAAAGAACAATGAGTTGTAATATGTATCAAGGTGTAGTAAGTTCAAATGAAGGAAGAGTAATCAATGTTGGAATAAGAAAGGCTGTTTATTAGAACAGAAAGTGCATATAGAGAGCGAAGTGTTAAGAAAACTAATAAACGTGTCTTTTATTGTCTTATATTTTTCATCCGATGCCTGCCACACAGTCTTAATATAAAAGTCTTAGTTAGCATGTTATAGGTTGTCTTAGTAGAATAGCTAATCCAGCATAAAATTGGGAACATGAGTCTGGATGGTGAGCGTAGGAGAAAAACCTCAGTATCACAGACTGATTGACTTCTTCTGAAAAATAAAGAGCCTGATACAAACAAAATGTTCTGCCCCACAAACATCGGTGGATTGAAGTCATCGCTTTCACCACCAATGCTTGCTGGTCAGTAACTCCGACCTCCCTCCGTTTGTGATGTTAGGTTCATTTGAACCTATTTTTTGGATATATATCATACCTCACACACAATGTTCCACATCCTGTTGAAAAACACTATTTCTATAAGTACCAATTTACGAGCGTATCAGGCAGTTATAAATTATGGACTGTGGGTAAGTCATCGATAAAGTGCTTTAATTGACTATAGTATAAAGTGTATGTTGCCAATCAGAGTATAGGCTATAAGAAGGGCATACTGTGGGATACTTGTTTACCAAAGTAGGCGGAAAAGTACAGGAATATATGGGTTATAGATAACGTAACTGATGGTGAAACAATATTAATGGCAAGTCAATAGTGTACTCGAGAGTAAAAAGCTGATAAAGAATAAACAAGAAGGAACTCACATTAACTTGGTGTTGATCTTATTTTGTTCTATCCTAACCGGTTGATAGGTAACAGGTTCCGAATTGCAAGACCACTGATAGTAAGAAGGCGATTATGCGCTTCTTTTGACTTTTTAGGGTAGTAGTAAGCGTCTCTTGGAGACCTAAAGTCGAGGCTAACCACATCCACCCACGAAATTCAACGCGATTATTGATAACTCCCA